AAAAGCATGAGAAATTACTAGGGAAACAGAGCTAGGTACTGAGGTTAAAAATCTTACAAATACATATTCAGCAAAACAGAAAATAGGCCTCTGAAAATTAGTGATTAGTACTTTTCAAGCTTCCATTTCTATTATTTATTCTTTGGAAACTTTATAAAAGCTTCTTGTTAAAATTTTGGGAGGAGATGCTAATAGAGTCCGTTTCTTTCACTGCTTGGACATGCATAACAAGATATATTATTCTTCTATTTGGTGCTTCGTATCAATGTTCAATGCCTTTTTATTTTATAGTTGCTGACTACTAATTCTCGGGTCTTACTGTAGTTCCAAAATCAAAGTAACTCTGATGCCTGAATGGAAAACATCTAGAGAGGTTAACTTCTGTTTAACTCACTCCGTATAGATGAGTGACAAATGCCCGAATGCACCTACAGTATACCTTAAGTCCCATTCCTAACACAAAAGAAGTTACACATACTTTTAACTCTGACCACAATCTACTCCGGCCAGGGCCAGTTAGTCCACAGCAGAACACCCAAAACCAGCTTTAGCAGCCCCTCCCCTGCTACTTTATAGCTATGAGGCCCAGCTATACTTTACCTCCACTTCTTCCCTCCCACAGCTCTTCTACAGAAGAGGTTCCATTTTCCTTTACCCTAGTCTCCCTCTTTTCTTTCTAGGCTTCAATTCTTTTTCTAATGCCAGATCCAAGGTTGTCAAGATGAGGAAAAGGTATGCAAAATAAAACCACAAATACTAGAATAGGGGAAAATGAATTCATGGTTGCAGATGAATGTAGATACGGGTTTCCACTCAGCATTTATTCAGATTTAACATCAAGTCAGATATTAGTAATATGTTTGTATACTGTGGTTTTTCATGTCCTATTTTTCCTGTGAAACATTTATCACACTTTTGATTTTCCCATAGTCCACTGGGCAGGTTACGAATGCTTTTAAAATTAAATTGAATGGAATGACTAAGGGAATTACTACCAATCAGAAACTCTATTTTATTTCAACTCTAGATGTTCAAAACATTTCTAATATATCGGTAATATGCAATTCAACTGATTTGTTTCCTTCCATTACCTCAAAGTCAGATTGACCAATTATCACAGATGAAGGAATATATCAATCAGAAAACAATCTGGGTCCAAATCCTACTTTTGCCACATACTGTATTCTTGGGCAAAATACTTGACTTCTTGAAGCCTCAATTTATTTGTAAAATGGGAATGATATAAAACAACTTCACAGAATTACTTTAAAGATCAAATTATACCATATATTAAACAACACTTTATAAATTGCAAAGTGCTTTAGTTGTTAGCAGCTTGTTTAAAAATCTTTTTAAAGCCCAATTCAATCCCCTAGAAAATTCTCTTAGGGGGAAGGAAAAGTTACTGATGTAAGGTTTTATTGTCACCTGTTTCTTTTCCTTCAACAAAACAAAATACTCAGAAAGAAACCTGGTTAAAGTTTTACTGTACAGGTGGATAAAATAAACCACTAAATTACAGCCTTCTCTTCACACTACTTATATTGGAGAAACAGCTCAAATGACCAACAAGAAAGGCTGAGTATATCAACTTGATATAATATCACTGTTTAAATGAAAAATATGTATGCCACCAAAATATGGACACATTAACAAAAAACATTAAGCAAGAAGGGGAAGAAGTCCAAGATAGCACTCATTCACTGATGACAGCTATGTAAGAAGCATGAATCTCCATACTGTATTTTTTGCCAATGAGCAGCCAAATATACTAATAGTCAAATGGATCATCCAAAGCAACAAGAAAAGGAATGTTTTTCATTATATCAAGTTCAAAAACTGCTGGAGTAAGCTTAATGAATTCTTTTGAATTTCATTAGTTTTTACTGAGATACAATATTTGGCTAGAAGAAACCTAATGAGAGGTTTAATAGCTTTAATTTATACAAATAAATTTCACTGAGTAAAAACATGAATGAAGCTTTAACTAGTTTAACAAGTATACATACACACTTTATTTGGCTTGTCTCTTAATATATATATTATACAGGTATACCATTATGATATAATTATACAATTCAAGATCTTACTATAAGAAGAGCAATAAAGTTTAATGCCAAAGGCTTGTGCAATTTATTTTTCTTTATCTTCAAGTATTATCTACTTTTAGAGTAGAACCAAAAATACATTACAATATATGGGAGGTGGGGTATGGGCAGAGGCCAATGTGACGTATGATTGCCTAGGCAATTTAGCAATTCAACAATTCTCCAACCAACTTATTAACTTTTGTTAAAACTCTTTTAGCAAAAGTTTATTAGGGTCATCTTTATAGTCAAGTCCAGTCAGACTTACAGGGCCAGTTCAATTTTCAGAAATATTCAAGAGTTCCTGCCCCAATTTAACTGAATGCTTTTAAAGATTTACTTCATACCTCTTACTTTTTAGGTATTATAGGGTTAAGGTTTTAGAGTTTATAGATGCATCTGTGATGGAGGGAGAGAGTATCTGTAAATGGTAACTAAAATTCTATGCAGATGTGTGTACTTGCATTTTCAGACCCAGGGTCCACATCTTCCATCAGATTCTCAATGGATTTCAGTACCTTAAATAGGTTGAGAACTGCTACCATGTATCTCACACAGTACACTTTTCAAATCTAAGAGATGTAATTATATCCCAGTTAATAACTGCTAAGTAAAATAAGGCATTCCTTCCACAGAAGTGAAGGCTCACAAGATTTATGGCTGCATCCCTGGAATAAAGGCAGGAGTCTGAACACACATGCCCTATGAAAGACACTGCTTGTCAGCATGCAACCCACTTTGCAGTATTAGAAAAGGGGAACACCTCTTCACGAAAAAGTCAAGATTCACCTGCAGCAACCTGGGCTTCCCTGGTAATAAAAACTTTTTTTTCGTGAGTCTTTTACACTCTATAAATTTTTCTGCAATAATTCAAAGTTGTGGGGGGGGAGGGTACAGCTCAGCGGCAGAGTGCTTGCTTAGCACACATGTGGTCCCAGTTTAATCCCCAGTACCTTCATTAATAAATAAATAAACCCAATCACCCTCCCAAAAAAAGCTGTATATATTTTTCATGTTTTTTTTTATTACTTTAGTTACTAGGATATAAAATGGCCAATACAATTATCCACTTACCAAAGTTCTTGGCTTTCAGTACTTCAAAATAAAACTTATATTAAAGATGCCAAAGGAATAGTATTATTCACCTAAACACACTAAGTAGTCCTTTTCCTAGTAATTATGTTAAATCTATAAGAAGCATTTGCCATTAGCTATCTAAAATACGGGCAGGACTTAAAGCATAATATTCCAAAACCAAAACCGACATGGCTTTTAAAGGTAAGTGATAGAACTTGTGATTCCCACACAAAGAAAAAGGTAAAATTTGAAGTTCACAGTTTACTCAGAGATTACATTCACAGGCTAAAAGTCAAAGTTAAAGAAAAATCACTGAATATCTATTTAAAATTTAAATCAAGGCAAAAATATATTCAAGGTTGTTCACTTTGAGCTTCTTGAATATTTCCTGTTTAAGATATTCATTTTTTCCATACATAACTGACCAGAAAAATACCTTTAAAATGTTTTCTAAATTAAATCCCAATGCTCCTGCTATGTGGACTGAATATTTCATCTGATTATTTTAGGAAAAGACTAGCCTCATTCATAAGCTGCATCTAAATCTAAAACGGGAAATACGTTTCTTCCCAGAACCTATTAAAAAAAAAAAAGAGCCAAAAGTTGATGAAAGAACACTGCTGCCACGTCCTTTTCCCTTCCCCCACTCAGTAGTGGCTACTTCATTCCTTTAGAGTGCATTCCAAGGGAAAGTCCGAGAGCCACGGCTCTTGAAGAAACCAGAAACAGTTAAATTGAAACTGGCAAGCCTCTTCAGCCTTTCCAATCAATTCCTAAAAGGAGATCTAGCTGCTGCTTCATCTCTTTCTTAAAGCTAACAGTGCAAAATTCCATGAGTCTTCTCCAGTTTACCTACTCCAGTCTATCTGCAGTGCCTAAGATGTTAGTGTGTAAAAACTGAATTATATTTAATACATTCGATTATTTAGAAGCAGTCCATTACTCATGGTACCATCCTTCCTCCCCCTTAAAACACATATCTGGGGGCCATTCATGTAACTCAACTCAAAGTTCCCACACAACCATAGAATTCGATTTACTGATGTGGACTTTTAAAAGTAGCAAACTCTGCTGAGAGAAAGAGAGGGGGAGGGGGAGAAGCTCATGTGCCTTTAAAAAATTTATGTGGCATCAGAAGGAAGGAAGAAGCCTAGCTTCCCCGTTGACTAGGGGAGCTGACAGCCGACTTCCTCCATCCAGCCGCCCGAAACTTGCCGCCCGGGGCTACGTCTAGCTGCTCGGGCAGCACCACTGCGCGCAACAGATGAGTTTAACCTGAACTTCCCGGGGCAGGTCCGCTTCCCAGACCTGACGACTCTTCGCCAGGATAAAAACGCCCTAGTGCCTCAGCGTCAGCTCTTAGCTTTAAAGTCCGCTCTCCACTGCCACATGCTCACCATCTGCCGCTGTGGAGGCCGAAAACCCTCGCGTACCCCTCAGCTTTGTAGGGAGGACCAGGTAGCAGAGGCGCTCGGAAAAATCAACAGGGTGATCCCACCCCGGGAAGGAATATTCAGGAAAGTCCTGGTCCTCGGGGCGGAGACAGAGGCTGCCGCAGCCCCAACAGTCGGGAACGCCAACCAGGGAGGAGGTGGGAAGGGGAGCACGGCGGAGGGCAGAAGGGGGTCTCGGGCAGCGAAGGGGAGCGAGGCGCAGGGCGAGGGGCCGCGTCTCCAGAGGAGAACGTACTGGGGTTGAGCAGTAAACTGGGGAACCCCCCGCCCCCGAGCCGTCCCACCAGAGGGGACAGGGACCAGACCACCAGGGCCATCGGAGAAAGGCCACGGCTGCCCAAGGATTTCAGCCTCAGTCCCCAAGGTCGAGGAAGCGTCTCACCTGGGAAGTGGGACGGGAGGGCGGCGCGTTCTGCAGTCTCGGGTCGGTAGCCTTCGCTCGAGCAGGCTACCTACTCCCCTAAGCCCGCTGGCGGCGCGACTGGGCAGCAGAGGGAGCCAGTTAGCCCTTTTATATCCTTAGGCCGCGACGGCAGCGCCGAGGAGGAGGCGACTGCAGCCCTCGCTACGTGAGCTCGATCACACCAGCGCCCCGGGGACTGCGCAGGCGCCCAGCCCTCTCCGCCCCAACCCGCGGCCCACGCCCGGACTCCACACCAGCCCGTGGAGCCCGAGGCCGAGAGGAGGGGCCGGCATGCGGGCCTGTGATGGGACGCGCCTGCGCAGGGTTCTCACCACGCCGCTGTTACCGTGGTTACCTCGGGTTTGCCCCGCTCCTTTCGACAGGTTGTTTAGCGAGCGCCTGAATTTCAGGATCAGCCTCAGTCAGGGCTGAGCGAAGAAACCACCAGCGAGGAAACATCTTAATATGAGAGAGGGAACATAGGAACGTAGAAAATAAAGCAGAAAAGAAGCATCGGGTGGAAAAAACACAGTACATACTGTCTTGATTATCTCAGCTGTGTTGGCCCTGAGGCTTTTTGTTCTGAGAACCTTCCTCTGTTACCTACAGTCATTTTACATGAATCTCCGTCTCCCATCTTTATACTTTATATCAGTAGGTAATGGACTCCGCACTCCGGAGATTTTCTGAGTTCAATTCCCGGCTCAGTCCCTTAAAACTTTGGATATTAACATCTCTGCATATCAGTTTCCCCAACTGCAAAATGAGAACGATGGTACATACCTCGTAGGATTATCGTGCGAATTAAATGAGATAATGTATGTAAAGCACTTAACATATGCCTAGCACACAGAAAGGGCTTGGTAAGTATTAGACTGTGTTGAAGCATATAAGGCAGCCAGTGCTGTATTTGGTCTTAATCTAACATTTGCCTTAGTCATTATAATCCTGAAAGAAGAAAGCGTTACTATCAGGGAGCAGACAATGAAGGAGATATCTGTCCCTTGTGACTGAAATGGAAGAAAGATTTCTCTAAGATTTGTTAGTCATTAAAAATTGCTGTTTCTAAAATTTACAATGAATGCCAAAAAGTATAGCAATAATTAACATTTCACTCTTATCTAGGAGGTGGCGTTGATTACACAAACACAGAAATAGAGGGGATACTTTGGGAAACTTAGGCAACCAGAATATCACTATATAGTGATTAAATATAATACTGCTAATCAGCACTTCTCAGAGTGTTTTCAGGGGGTTCAGAGGGCAAAATTATTTCACGCTAAAACTTTATTTGCCCTTTTCACTCTAACGAAAGTACAGTAGGGTTTTCCAGAAACATGTCCTGCACTATTGCAAGAGATTGCATGCAGAGGCAGATATGAGAGTCTTCTATTAGACCAGCTACTAAAGAGATTTGCAGAAATGTAAAATAATGCCACTCTTCTCACTAATTTTTTTTTTGCTCTGGAAAAGTTACTTTTCATTTAAAAATATGTTATTTATGATAACATGTAACAGATTTATTGTTGTTTTAAAATGAATAAACAAATATTTTACATGACTGTTTTAACTTTTTAATTTTATTTTTTGAAGTGTAGTTAATTTACAATGTTAGTTTCAGGTGTACAGCAAAGCAATTCAGTTATACATATATTTTAACTCTCGATACAGTAAATCTTGATAGATATGATTCACATAAAAGCTTTTTGGAGTCCTCAGTGCTTTTTAGGAGTGTGAAATAGTTACGAGACCAAAGAATTTGAGAACCAGTAGTCTAAACATAGCAGGGAGCCCTTTGACACAACAGGCAAGGAACTCTTCCTCAAATCTTCATCTCAGGTGGAGCTATAATCAACGCATCTGCTGGCCCTATATAGAGCTGACTCTGAAAACTGCAATTACCCTGTGAATAAAATGGCTCCAGACCTTGAGACAGGGGGCTTCATTTGCACTAGCCTATTCCAAGACCCTGGAGGGGTCCTAGCAATATGCTCCCATGGTCATATGCTTTTGTGAAATATGTAAAAGTCAACATTTTAACTGCAATCTTTAGGCTGCCAATTCTTTCCTCACTGATTTTCCCTCCATCATATTTCTCCTTGCCTAGTGGTTCTGGAGTGGCTAGCAGGCATTTTTAAAATTTAACTGAAAGGGAAGTTGAGTTAGAATACATTTGGTTTGAGTTTAGTGGGATATATTTTTGTAATTCACAGTCACTCCCATGTTATATCCCATAGTTAAGATATTTTCAGCTGTCCCAGTGTAGGAGTGGCATCCAAGAATGTTCCCACTGCCATTGTGCTGCCCCACCCAGCACTGTAAAACAAAGGTACAGGGCCAGACAGCATATAGCTTTTGAATGTGTCCTATGTTCTAGCATCAAAAATAAATGGATAGTGGAGAAGCAAAGTTGAAACTTAAGGAGCCTCAAACTAATCTGTGAGAAACTCTTCCAATTATTGTATGTATAAATTTTTAATTAAAAATTTAGTGCTTATCAATGCTTAGCCAATAAAGGGAAGTTCTTTTTTTATCAGAATGTAATGAAGATATCCACAACAAACTAGAGTGCCATCACTTTAAAGAAAACTGATGTGTCCTAAACTTGTCGTACATAAATAACCTTATTTGAGATTTTCCAAATGTGACAACAGTCCTAAAGGTTTACATAACATTATCAATAATGAGTTGTGAAACAAAGAAACTTCTAACCTATCCCCCATCATCAACATCATTTGGTTGCCCAAAAAGGACACTGCATATCAAATCTACATGTGACTACTCAGCCGTCATCCCTGCTTGCTTAGAATGAAGAAGATACCTTGGGGAGTAGAAAGAGAATATGACTCCCCTCTGAATGGTTAAACATTAGAATCGAGTTAAACCTCCATTAAATCTCTTCTTTTGCATCTAAAAAAAAAATTCGTCAGTCAATAAGTATTTCTTTAAAAAATATTAAGTCCTATATTCTCTTATATTCTTAGGAAAAGACTATTATGTAGCTATGGTAACAACTAAGAGCAGAAGTGATTTTAAGCTCAATTAATAGATAAAAGGCCACTCAGTTTTGTGAACAAGCCTCTATAAAGCCAGCCAGTCAGTGGCAGCCTCCCACTTTTTAAAGTTAGCCAAACAGCAACAGCTCTACTCTAGTGAACACAGCTGTGAAATTCAGCCAATTGTCAACAGTCTCTCCGCCAGGGTAATCATGCTTCCACAGCTGATGTCAGTCCACTTTCACCTTTGAAGGTCAGCCAATCCCTGAACTCCATCTTTCACAAAAAACTTGATTAAGATCAGCAGAGAGACTGTGTCTAATAAGCGGAGTGCTTCTACACACAGAAAGTAATAAATCAACTTTTTTTTTTGCCTTTTGAATGATGGTTTCTTCCCTCGACATTGAGCACTTTTTTGCTGTTATGCCCCACAAAAAAGGACACCAAAACAGAAGGCGTAGGCCCTATATTTGAAGGCATTCACACATATGAAACAATTAGAAGGCATCTGAAAGAGTGAATAAGTATTGAATGTGTTGTAAGGATTATAAAATACTGCATACTTTACCTGAGAGTTAGGGTTAAGAACAAAGCTGAATTTGATGAAATAGGTAATAGTGGTAAGATTAGCAGAGGATTAAGATGCTGGAAGCAATAGTTTAGAATATTATGCTGTGTGAATTAGAAGAAAGTGGAATCTAGATTAATAATCCAAAATTCATTGAATAAATATTTATGGAAGGTCTACCACTGTGTCCAAGACACTGCCTACTGGGCTGTGGAAAATCAAACTTGAATTAGATAGCCTCTGCTTTTAAACAATGAATAACCTTTTTGGATTGACTTAAAACCTGCACTTGGGGCAATGGGAATTCATTCATCCAATAACTATTTCCCTGTATGGGCCAAACAATGCTAAGGGCTGGAGTGGGAGGAAAGAGGGCAGCGCACGACCACTGAAGGAATGACACAGCAAGTGCTATGGAAAAGAATAATAGGAAGGACATGATTTACATTCATAACACAGGGAAAGTGTCTCGGAAGAAGTGACATAAACGGAGACCAGAGTTGGCCAGCTGAAGCGTGTGAATAAGAGCATTCTAAAGAGAGAGAACAGCCTGTGTGAGGATCTTCTGGCAGGAAAAAGCTTGTTGCATTTGAGAAGCTAAAAGAAATTCGGTGTGATTGTAGTGCAGTAAGCCAGGGAGAAACTGGTATGACGGGAATGCAGAGGCTAGATCGTGCTGGGCCTGCTGAGCACTGTGACAAGAACAGTGGGAAGACACTGAAGTATTTTAAACAGTGAAGTAACATTATGTTATTTACCTTTAGTAAAGTAAAATATACGCGTTTTCCATGTCATTGGACATGGGATGGGTCTTACAACTAGGAGTGGTAGGGACTTCCTCCTTAATCACGTGTAGGGACATGAAAGTCAAGAGGTGAGATATTCTAGAATGTAGCTGAAACTAAAAACCACACCAGCCACTAACATCCTGTCACTGTGGCACTGAGGAAAGTGGCTGCAAACCACTTCCACCATGTGGCCTCCAAAGGGACACTCACTGTGGCAGGCAGAACAATGGCCCCCCAAAGATGTCCACATCTCAATTCCTAGAACCTATAAATATGTTACTTTCCTTGTGAATAGAATTTTGCAGATGTAATTAAAATTAAGGATCTTCTATGAGGAGAGTAGCCTGGATTATCCAGGTGGGGCCAATCTGATTAAATGGATTCTTTAAAGCTAAGAACCTTTCCAGGTTGTGATTAGAGGAGATATGAGGAAGGAAGAAAAGTCAGCTATTTGATACATTGTTGATTTGAAGATGGAGAGAAGGGGGCCATGAGCCAAGGAATGTGGGAAGCCTTAGAAAATGGAAAAGGCAAAGAACTAGATTCTCCTCTAGAGCCTCCAGTAAGGAATGTAGCCTTGACAATGCTTTTGATTTTAGTCCAGTGAGACCAATCAGAGTTCTGACCTACAGAACTGTAAGATAATTTATTTGTATTGTTTAAGCCACCAAATTTGTCATAATATGTCATAGCGGCAATAAGAAACTGATCCACTTACTTATACATTCATGACTGAAACAAGGGCTGAAAACAATGACATTTTTCAAGGGTCTCAGTAAATTTCCAAACGTTCTTTCCTAGAGGTTAATGCGGTGATTAGGACTGACCCTTTAC